CTCGGTTTAGCTGATGTGAGTCATAGATTCCTGTTTTTCTGTTCAGTAAAGGTCTGAATAGGTTGGATTTGATGACGTTTAGCTGGGTAAGAGGTCTGGGTAGACTAAAATAGGCTGGGACAGGTCTGATATAGGTCTGTAAGTGCTGTTTAGGTCTTGGTTTGGTCTGGTTTAGCCAAATTTGGGTTGGTCTAGCGTATTTTAGGTCTGATCAGCAGGTAATTAAGTCAAAATAGACTTGGTTAGATTTGATTAGAGGTTTAGAATGTCTATAGAGACATTGTCTAGGTCTGATCTGATTAGTATCTGATTGTAGATTTAGGTATTATCTAGTTTAGGACTAGATAGGACTTCTAAGTACCAGTTTTGAGTCATAGAGTCCGGTACATTGACCGGTTAGGTCTGATTAGGTGGGATTTGACTAAAACGGGTTGGTTTAGGGGTTGGTTAAGTCTAGAATCACTAGGTATAGGTCTGTAGGGGTCGGTTTAGATCAGGGCAGGTCTGTAGGAGTTGGTTTTAGGCGTTTATAGGGTCTGATCAGATTAGAATTAGGTCAATTAGGCTTAGTTTAGGTCTGATTAGGGTGCTAAAAGTCTAATCAGGAGTTGGTAAGTCATTAGGGTTGGCTTAGGTTTGATGATTAGGACTTTTAGGTGATTGACTAGGACTTAGGGTAATCTAATCAGGGGTTGGTCGACTAGGGTTGGCTTAGGTCTGGTTAGGGTCGTGTGATGGTCTAGTCGGGACTTTTGGTTGTCTAACTAGGGCTGTTAGGATCTAGGTAGCACTTGGGTAGGTCTGATTAGGACTTTGTGAGGGGCCGGGTAGACTCGGGATCGTAGGACTGGTTAGGACTGTGTTGGGGGCCATGTAGACTCGGTGTTATAGGTCTGATTAGACGTAATCAGGTCCGGTTAGCCTTAAGTTAGGTCTGGTTAGACGTAATCAGGTCTTAAGGTAGGCTGTGTTTCGAGTCTAATAGGTCGGTTAGGCAAAATTATGCCTAGGATAAGTCCAATCAGGTTTGTGCGAGAGTCTAGGAGGTCGGTTAGGTAGAAATATGCCTTGTGTTAAGTCCAATCA